TCCGTCCGTCCATCCATCCATCCATCCATCCCCCCATACTTCCATGTATCATCCTTCACATTCTATTCTTCCTTTTTTATAAATCCTATTCATCAGTGGTAGCCATTCATGTTTATTATTCAATATATTCACGATCTGTTTTGTTTCCTATTTTTCATTTTATTTCTTTTGATCTATCTCCCAGAGACCCGAATGTCGGCGAAACCACTCCCGTGGTCACGTGGCCTCGTTACAACAGCTCAGCACACGTTCATTTACGTATCTCTTTGAACCCCAAACTGGAGTTTTCCTTCCGTGAGAGGAAGATGGCGTTTTGGAATGAATTCGTCCCAAAGCTTGCTGGAGGTGAAGCAGACCAGGAGAGTGGGGACAAAAATACGAAGGATAATCAACCAGCGAAAGAAGAACTTTGAATGACTAAGATCTTTCAGCGCTGCGCTTAATATGCACGATAAGGCACAGTTTTTTTTACGATGCTATTGCATTTTACCAATTTTCCAAAAAAAAAGGGGGGGGGGGGGTATTCGACAAGTGCTGGTGAATTTACGTTCGTAAACTTTTAACATATGTTGCTACCTAGTTTCCACTTTGTCATTTAGTCGGCTTTCTTTGTAAAGTGTTCGTGAGCTACGTTCTGCAAGACCAATAGATCTTTTTACCTTAATACGGTGGCCGAGAGGGTGACCGTTGCATCATGGATGGTTTATAGACTCCACAGCTGGGTGTCTTTTTAGAGAACTTGATGTAATTAATTTGGAAATCTTCAAATTCGAGTCCAGTTGCATCCACACTGCAGCAGTAAACTATCTTCGTGATGCCTTTGTTAAAATTCAAAGCGCACCAAAATAGTTAAACGGAAAGGGAGAGAATAGCATGCATGTTGTAGCCAAGGAAGATAACTAGAAGTTTTTGTCCATATATATCAGGTTCAAAAACGTTATCTTAAAACTGAATAGGGCACTTTGGTAAAGGAAGCTCATGTTTTTCGTAAATCGGGAATGTAATCCTCTTCTCTAAATCTCCTAATCTCCTTTCCTCTTTTCTTTTCTCTCCTCTCGTCTCCTCTCCACTAGCTCCTAGCCTCTCCTCCCCAAAAGTGTAATATTACTAGGCTTCGCGTATATCCGGAGATAAGGGCACAAAGCCAAACCCACTTCCTCTTGCGTGACTTCAGATTGAGAAAATGACATTATATATTCCGACTATACATTGATGAGTTTGATAGCATTTACACTTGTCTCTCGTTCTAAAGTGCTTTGCATACCATTCGATATAGCAAATAAGGCCAATATCAACGAAACACCTAGATGTATTTGAAAATATATCGCTCACATTTAATGATTCATGAGGAATTTGCATAGGGATGGTCTTGCTAAGCTCGTGGGGGGAGTAATTCAAGTAACCCGATCGAAATCCAATTATTTAGTCGCCTAGATGGAATAAAATATCTTACAAAAATAATTGGGGATGGAGAATGAATGAATATTCAGTCGTGTGTTTTTTTCGCTTTAAATGTTTTAATTTAAAAATAAATAAATAACTTTTTAAACAAAACATGTTTTTTTTTAAGTTCGTGCATTGCAAACGTGATCAATGAAGATCAACATTAAAACCAACCAATCACATTCAACAATACCGGTCATGTGATCACTAGGTCAACACTGGCTTCGAACGTTTGCGAGTAAAAAAAACATGGCGACCGTGTTAAAAATTCTCTCAATTTTTCTTTATTTTGACTAGGAAATTGTACGAAAAATGGGCTAAACACAATGCTACGATGCCTGGTTAGGCTTTGGAGTGGTAATGGATAGAAGTGATAAGCTAGTCGGTGAGTTTTTGAGTGGTTTTTGGTCGGTGTTTTTCAAAGCGAAGCACAGAAACTTTTTCCTATGTTTGAAGGATTTTTATTTTCTTTGTCGAGGGCCGTAAACATCTTTTTAGACACGTTTATGTTTTCTTTGGCCATGAATAGATGTTTTAAAAGCCTCTGTAGGAATTCCAGTTATTTCTAATGCATAGTTTTTACAATATAAAGTCAAATAACACTTATATTTTATCGTCATCAAGTGAGCCATCATCTCTCTTCTTCTCGAGTTGCAGCCATCAACCAAACTTTACCAGGACTCGAATCATTCCTTCGCGAAGTCCTAGGTAAAGAAGGACTCAGTATAGACGCCGAAGAACAGAGACAAGAATTTATTAAGCGTCTGGAGACTATATCTACTCCTCCTGCTTTACCACCGAGGCCTCCAAGACTCGCCGCAAGAGCACAAGCTTTGAACGACTCCGGAAGTAAGATTCAAGACGAAGAAGACTTATTTACAAACTCGCTCTACAGAAATGACAGTATTGATGATCCTGTGGCTTTTGCCTCTCACCAGAGAGAGCTTTCAAGACATTATACATTTTCTAGTAGGGGATATGTGGGAAGAAGGGAATTATTTGGCGAAAACAGTCCACTTTATTCACCTCAACCGCTAGTAACGCAACCAACTTTGGTAAGTCCAACTTTCAAAGTCGTTTTACAAAAAGCCCACTTTTTACACCAAAAATTACCGACTCAAGACTTTTAGAATCACTATATACATAATAATTCAACGCTTTTAAACTTAGAATAACTTATTGAACCATGGAGGAGCTGAGAATATAATTATTTGATGTTTTATGTGGCATAATTCAACTTTTCTGCGTGTGGTTTATAATGGCTAAACTCCAACTGATATTGTTTATACAATGACTACTTCTGCTATGGCAAAAATTAAGGAAATTGTTTTAAGTTTTGTCGGTAAGTGAGGAAAACACTGGCCTCTTTTATAAACAAATTCGAATGAATCTAGTTAAATATACGATGTGAAAGGAAACAAAAGAACTATATTAATAATGATAAAAAAGCGCTTAATTTTTTTAATAGTGCCTCGTAGACATCGCTTGATTAATATTCTCCAAAATCCCCCGATTATTGATATTTAAAAAGTAAAATTATATCTGTTTAAATCGACGAAGAAGACTTTCTAATCGTAGATTATCCTTGCTATTATTCTCCGAGGTGTTAACGGAATTATCATCCTTTCTTCCTCAAACATTACTTTCTAAAGTATTCATGCATAAGTCAACACGAGATTCTGTGATCAAGTTGTAAGGAATATTAGTTTTACAAATTTATTCACTGACTCATAATGTTGTGGAAAGATGGTATTGGTTATAAAAATCGTGCAAATAAGTAATAGCAGCGATCACTGGGTTTTTGTAGAGGTTCAAAGGGTTAGGAAGCACATGGACTTTATAGTACCATGTACAATACAGCGTGATCCCAAAGTTTAACCCCGTTTTACAATGGAAAGCATTTCCTTGAGATGCGTGATTTCCTGAATTACGTTTAGTTTGCAACTATAAAAACTAGGCGAGGTTTAAAACTCCGATACTCTATTATATGTGCATATTATACATATATACCAAAAACCACATTATTTTGAGGCTTCACTTGAAGTGTGATTGTTCTTGACTATAATATAACAGGAAATAAGACAGCGAAATTTGCTGATGCTAAAAAAAGATTAAAAATAATGTACCTGAAATGTCATTTTTGCAGGATGATCATTCAAAATTTTTTGATAATTTTGGCAAAAGTTGACAGCTTTAAATTATCAAAAGTAAGAAAAGAAACAGCTAAAATTGAGTGTTGAAAGAATATGTAATTTGAACTATATTAATTATGCTATTTTCTGATCATTTCCAAATCTCAAAAGAAATGTGGGTATTGCTTTCAATTTACTTACCCATATATCATCACATTTCGTAGTATTCATTTCAGGTATGAGATACTAACACTCTTTTCTGAGAGTGTGATAATTTTAGACGTGATATCAGACGGCCCAACGGAAAAGGACTGTCACTTTAGGGGCATTAGGTGAATTTTATACAATGTCTGTAACCACAGGCGTAAGTTGTCTTGAACAAACATATTTATATTTATGTTTTTCATTGTTCATCTCATATTATCACAAAAGAAAGCATTTTTAAACTAATATTGTTATCCATGATGAATCCAGTGTACTTATCTCTAATACAGAATCTTTAACCCTAGATGTATGCGTTCCCTGAGCATTACCATTTTACCATCTTAAATAATTTGTCTATTTTCAAATTTTCTACTTTAAGTAGAATTTTATAGTTGTATTAGATGCTTTTCCTTTTTCTTTTGAAACAGAACATACATTAGGGCTAGCTAGACTACCGTATATTACAGTATTTYGGGAAGCATGGGTAGTCTGCTTTGCTAATGCATCATCTCTCAACAATGCAACTTAGGTTGAGTCCTGCCGGCCTCGGTGTCGTATGTGAGTAGAGTTGTTTGTCGATTCTCTCCTGCGCTTTGAGGTTTTTCTCCGAATTTTCCGTTTTTTCCTTCGTTCCTCAAAATTCACATTTGATCTTTGGGCTTTCACCTAGTTTGGAGCCTAGCTCTGTTGTGATTGATCCACGCTGTGATACAACAGTCAAAGCTTAATAGATTTTGTTGATAAAAAATATGAGCAATTTCAAAATGTATATAAACAATTTCCCAAATTTCCTGCCTTGTAGTTATGGTTGATTGACGGGCATAAGGTAGCATTAGGCAAAGTAGCTATTAGATGGTTCTAGAACCTTCAGTCTGTTAATGGAAATTTTGGAAATAATTGTAATTATCGACCTCCAAATTATTAGCCTAATATTAATTGCTCTTTTATTATGCAATTTTTTTAATTCCGTCTGTAATTATATTTTCCTGCTTCATAACATAAACAGTTCTTTGAATTTTGAGCGTAATGAATATTAATGAATCATTGATAAGAATCAATATTTTGGCTCCAATTCGACAATAGATATATGCCATTAGTTATTCTTTAATGGCATAATGATAATGGCCATGTTATTGTAAATTAAACCATTAGTTATTATAAAGATGTAACTAGCTAAAAACTAGGGTGAGCTGCGTCGGTGTTTCTAATGAAACAGTAATGATGAAAAAGTAAATTTTACACCGTGAAAAGATGAAAAAACTTACTGACTTTTCGGACACTAGTCCTTCGGCGGAGTAAAAAAAAACTCCGGACTAGCGTCCGAAACGTCAGTAAGTTTTTTCATCTTTTCATGGTGTATAATTTACCTTTTCATCATTACCATTAGTTATTATAGTAGTTTGAGGTTAGTTTTGCTTAGACAATATTGTATGGCATCTGGGAGGGGAAAATAGCAGGAAATACATCATCAATTTTATTCTATTCTTGTAACTAAAGTTACATATTAAATTTATTTTTTCTTAGGCAGGATTTCCTTAGTACAGTATCTGTGTTGCTTGTTTTCTTCTTAAAAAAATATCTTAAATTATACCATCTATGCAGTCATTTTGAAGTGTTTTTTCTTAGACAGTATTTCAGTAGTGTCTGGTCTTCCATGTTTTTTTCTAGAAAATAAAATTGATTGTAAATTTATATACCAATTATCTAGTCATTAGCCCCCAACAGCTTACATGAAGTATATTTAAAAATTATATTCCTTCTTTTAGATACATTTTGCTTTGAGCAATTCATATTACAAAAGCATTTCATTTCACTCAAAATTCATTTTAAAACAAATTCTTTTTCCTTACTTTTTAAGTACACTTATACAGCAAACTTTAACAAATATACCACCAAAGTGTAAGCTTCATTTAATTTCCTCATAACTCCCAAACACTTACAAATAAAGGTTGTGGTAAACCCATGACCCAACTTAACTTCCCACACTATTCTTTCAACATTAATCTTATGTAAATAAATGAGTTGATTTATGTATTGTGGGAGGAAAACTCAAAGAAAGCTCGAGGCATGGAGCCCTTTATTTGAATAGGATTTACGAGATGTGTTTTTTTTAGTAGATGATGTACAGATTAGATTATATTAATTATCATTTGTTTTTCAAGATTAGCATTGATTTATACTCCATAATTAACAAAACCCAAGCATCTTGTTCTTTAGTTGATTCTGAATTTGAAATTGTTGATTTTCTCTGTAAAAGGATTAAGTTTTAAAACCCTTGAAGCTCAAGAGAAAACTACTTTGCTATGCTATCTGTTATTCGTATGATCTTCAGTGGCTTTTGCCCCTAAGCAGAAGACATACTGTAGCTTCATTTTAATTTTGCCCTGACAAATAAGGTTTTTTATTGTGATTTTTACAAGTAATTATAAACTCATACACTGGTAGCTACTGTAGCTCTTAAGGCTGGTTTAGAAGGTACAATTTTCGCCTACAACTATCATATACAATACGCTCGCGTCTGTCGTAGGCAAGTCGTAGGCTTGATTTACATGCTACGACTCGAGTTGTAGGATGGCGCGAACGTATTGTATACGATAGTTGTAGGCGAAAATCGTACCGTCTAAACCGGCCTTTACAGTAGCAATGAGATCAATGCTTTAGAACATTTGTGAGCAAATAAAAATCAACCTGGATTCTTTATTAATTTTATATTTTGCATAAAAATATATTTGCACCATTTATTCTAGAAAAAGGGGGCCACAAAAAATATTTGCTAAATTTTTGATATTTCACATGGAAAAATTGCCTACTGTTCTGAAGTTTACTATGTGAAATAACCATTCAGAAAAAATATAGCATAAATGCTGTAAATTAATCCAAAGATTGATATTACAGTGAGAAAACTCAAACCATATATGCTCATTATTTTTTGTTAATATTTATTTGATTTATAATAATTATTCATGTAATAATCATAATAGTCATTTTTATTTTATTTACAAATACAGCAATAAGGGTTGGTTTCAAATGTGGCCCCAGACTTTTGCTTATTCATTTATTTATTCATTCTTTAATTCATGTATCTTTATTTATCATTTCTAATTATGTTTTTTTCCCCAGCCCGCGCATAGAGATTCCATCCAAAGCTGCAGTAGTGATGAAATCTATGAACGGCTTAGCATAGGAGAAGCATTCAAGCCAGGAGAGAGCACAAGCGATGTCTCAGAAAGAGAAATCAGTGCAGTTAGTAACCCTGTTCCTAGCATTGGACAGAGAGGGGGTACAGGGAGAGGATCTGGAGGAAAGGGAAAAATTACAACAGGATGGTGAGTAAACATGAAGGATATTTGTCAGCATTGTTTCTGCGCTCCTTTCTGTGGGCATGCAAGCTTTTCACTCAACCCCAATAACTTTGCCACCATATTTTATATAAGTTTTTTGTGCGAGTTACCCCAGACATAATATATACATACATCTTTGGTATTAGTAATCTCTATAATCCCTGGTCATTGGAAAGCGTTATAGGGAAAATTTGGTTGTTAAAAATGAACTGACCAGTGCTTAAAATTATATAATGGCTTGTCTTGATCTTATTGAAAAAAATCCCAGTTGGCTGGCAGTAGCTGGATTGTGTACATTGCCAGGAACACTAGGAGGCAAGGGGTTAATTGACTACTAAACCTCACCAATGCTCCAATATTTTCTAAATACACCTAATTGAAAAAGCATAGTCGGGTTTGAGAAGGTCATATCATCGATGCTAAGACCGAAAAAGGATTTTGGGTACTCCGAAATGTGTATTATATTTGCATATAGACATGTAAAATTGCACAGTAGAGCAAAGTCGGTCGACCTAGATTAACAACATGCCAAAGCCATGATGCATAAAATGTGCACAGGAAGGGAAAACTGCAATACGCATGAAATTAGCATAATTGTTTGTCTTCCCATGCTCCCCTTCGGTCTTAGCTTTGATGATATAACCTTTTTTTGAACTCAACAACGTTTTTTTCAATTAGGTGTATATACAACAACTTTTTTGTAATATCATGATTTACTGCCTTGATAATATGTTGAATAAAATGTAAGTTTATCTTTCCCTCAAAAGCATTTGCACGAAAAAGGTTTTATCATACTGATGCTGTTCTACTTACATCAATTTTTTCAAGGTTTAAAAAAGAAACAAAGCCTCAAGCAGAAGTACATCTGTCAGACATCCAGGACCCCATCATCCAGGGCTACCTCAGAGATGTGAAGAGTAACAAGAGAAGATGGTGTGTGTTGAAGGACGAGAAGCTTTATATTTTCAAGTCCAGAGATGAACCTACAAATCAAATTATTGACCTGCCAAACTGTGATATTGGAGTGGATGATAAGAAAAAGATCAGTTATTCATTCAGGTATGCTTTCCATAGTTTCTACCACAGGAAGCCCACTTATAGTCTTGGTTTCTCATGTCTTGTGATACCTAGAGATAACTAGCTAAAAACTAGTGTGAGCTGCGTTTGTGTTTCTAATGARACAGTAATGATAAAAGGGTAAATTTTACACCGTGAAAAGATGAAAAAACTTACTGACTTTTCGGATGCTAGTCCTTCGTTGGAGTAAAAGAGCGGTAAGTTTTTTCATCTTTTCACTGTGTAAAATTTACCCTTTTATCATTCTTGTGATACCTGCTGTGTTTAGGTTTGAAGAGTGTATTTGTTCATATGAGGCAGGCTTTTCTAGCATAAATATAGACTCTTCTTAGTGTTCATATTAAAGATTTCAAAGCCAGATGTATATCACAGGGCTTAACATAAAGTCTGCTCATCAGACAATTTCTGGCTGGAATTGGAATTTGTTTGGTCAAATCTTTGCCTCTTTGTCATTTTGACTAGAAATGAGGTATGAAGAATAACAGACGTCTTTAGCTTGGGCGTAGTGTTTTCCCATTTCAGGCCATGTATCATTCTCTTGAGTATCATTTATTTTTTACCAGTTGCACATGAGAAGGCACATTAATATGGTACAACTCAAACAAAGAATCTTATTCTCAAGAGAATTACGCATAGTTTGAAATGGAAAAACACTATGACCGCTAAATAGAGGGCCGCTTAATAGAGGTTCGACTGTATTATAATGAAAGTCAGATTTGTTTGCAACGTACATATAAAATTATATTAATAACTAGACATAACATAGTTAATATTATCTATTTTTAGATTACAACAGACAGGTGCACCTTTAGTCCAACTTGCCATTGAAGCAGGACATGACTTATCTCCATGGATGAGCGCTATCATGGCTGCTGCAGTACGGCGCGGTAAAACCTACAGACCAACTAGTCCACTTGAAAATACTTGTTCTCTTGAAGAAGCTCAAGGAAAGGCCCGATCTCCGTATGGGTACATGAGGATTGATATTAGACAGGAGGAACAAGAGGACGGGGCCAGCAGAAGCAGCACTTATGAAGTGCCTTTAGAACTTCTGCCTGTAAGTGAAAAATTTTGTAGTTCCCTCACCCACTCCCCCCAGAGCAAATATGTGTTGATCCTGGGGTTGGGAATAAATGTTAGATCACTATCACTCCAACCACCTTACACCAGGAAGTTTTGCATTCAATAGAATAGTCCCTTTGCAGCTCAGTAATCACGTGCTGATTAATTCACTGAGAGCAAATGAACGAACATTTTAATTCTCGTGGTGAAACTTACTGGAGAGCAAACACACTTTCTACAACCTGTTTCAAGAGATTGTAATAAAACTACATCAAACCCGGGACCCCAGAGAGGAGAGACGAGGGCACTCACGCCACACCTTGATTTCCCCCCCCCCCAAAAAATAATTTCAATAATGGATTCAGAATACAGTATTTAGATAAAAATTGTAGGCAGATAATTGAAAATGAATTAAATTCTGCCACAGGAAATGATGTCATCTTATGGTCATCAACTGTCTACGAGCACACCAACCAGTACCTGTCCAGACACTGAAAAGCTTGAGCCATATAACCCTCCGCTGCCACCAGTACCAATCAACTCAGACTCCTCCTCGGAGTCTAGCTCAGAGGATGAAGAAGACTATGAAGATGGTAGAGCTCGGAATAAGCCTAGCAAAGGAAGGAAAACTAGTAGAGCCAATGTTCTTGACAAAGATATTAAAATCACAGATTCTAAGGCGGAAGGTGATGAAAATAGACGGTCATTCCATGACGATTCCCATGGAACAGACAGCCCAAGCGATCAAAGCATCAATCGGCTGAGCTTTGGGGAGGCAATAGCTAGTGACGAGGCATCGGAGCCAAGGGGAGAGAGAACAGGAAGCATACAGAGGAAAAGAAGTTCAACTGTTTTAAGCAGTGTTAGCGTTGAATCAACTGGTTCTTACCTAGATCTGGCTCAGAAGGAACAGGTATGGTTATTGGAATATGATGTAAAAAGAGGGCTACTAGGTCAGGGGGGTACACTGTTTACATGTACTGGCCATCCACACGCCCCTTGTGGAAATCAGCTTCAGTTGACTGGGCAAGCGTGTGAATGAATTTAACCTACCTACCTACCTACCCACCTACCCACCTAACCACCTACCCACCTACCAACCTACCCACCTACCCACCTACCCACCTACCCACCTACCCACCTACCCACCTACCCACCTACCCACCTACCCACCTACCTACCTACCTACCTACTTACCTACCTACCTACCTACCTAGGGGTATATAGGGTTATCAGACAGATATCTATATGTTATTTACTGTCCTAAAGTTGGTCCGGATAGGGGAAAACTGTGCCCAAGTACTGTACCGTCCTAAAGTCTACTTTTTTTCCCAGCATCCACCAAGAAAATCTACCCTGACGACTGGCCCTCGAATGAAGAGAAGACGGAAGCAAACTGCTGCAGATACCGAGTCCAAGTTTCTCCAAGATCCTAATGCTTTTCATAGTGGTATCTTATTCCAGAAGAGACCCCTTGGTGTTTGGTCCAAACGATACTGTAAACTTATCGCAGATAAACTAATGTGCTACAGGTAATGTATAATATTATATTAGTGAAGAGCAGTTTTGTATGGGTGTGAAAAAAACCAAATAGACTGTCGTGATGATGGCATGCACAAGAGGGGATCAGTCTACTAACTCTACATGTACATGTAGTACTTCTGACTTTGTGATTTGTATTCCTAGACATGTTGACAGTCCTATGTGATGGAGAGCCACTCTGTGGAAATGCCACTGTTAATCCCATTATTTTTATATTTTGAAATCATGTTCTCTGTTGACAGACATGCAGATGATGAAAAGCCTTCCCTAATAATCAGCCTCAAGGAGCAAGACGTCTGTCTGACTGACAGCAAAGAATCCAAAAAGGCTTATGCATTCAAGGTTGGACGACCCGGCCAAGAAACATACTACTTTGGTACCGACTCGAGAGTGTCTGTTGAGAGGTGGATTGAACTCCTTTCCCTGGCGGCAACCGGAAGACAAGACATCATGGCACCTTATCCCCCGTACTTTAAGTCAGGTTCGGGTGATGAGATCGAGAGGTCCAAGTCGCAGGAGTCACTGAGCCTTAGCGAGGTAAAATAGCTGGAATTAGGGACTTGTTCTGTGATCAAGTGACCCATYTGGCGTAAATTTTAACATAACTCTTCGGTTTATTAAGGGAGTAAGGTTACATAGCCTCAGTGCTAAAGTTTGTAGAGCGCACTTCAAATTAATTTTAAAAAGGTTTCAACATTTTCTCTGCAGGATATCGACAGTGGTGATACCCTAGACTTTATTGACAGTAGCTCTACCCAGACCTCCAGCCGTGATGGGTACCCGTACGACGACATCGGTAGCTTTGCTGCAGACGAGCTGGATGAAGATTTATCTAGTGATGCAAGGTAGGTTGTACTCTGTTAAGCCTGCGATGCGTGCACGGCCAAGACGAACCAAGTAGTGAAAAGAGACTGGTGAGAATTGCAGACCTCCTATATATCCTATATTTCCTATAATTTGTATAGGATCCTATAAAGAGCTTATATTTAAAGAAAACCTCCTATATTTCCTATAAATAGGACGACTGCTGATTGATACATTTATATTTTATACTGTTTAGCATATTTGGCGAAGGAAATAAAATGGCCCCCCCTTTTTTTTTGTTTTTGGTTCTGTTTTTTTTTAATGGCTTTTTAGTTCTGAAATTCATTGCCTGTGCACCCTCCCGATTCCTGGTTACGCCACCGAAAAGCTATCTTAGCTCCTATAAAGTGCATATATTTTTGGGAAAAAATCCTATATTTTCCTATATTTAGAACTTGCACAGCCTATATTTCCTATCAAATTTGTCTTAAAAGTGGCTGGGATGCCTGGAATTGATGATTTTGATAAATAGGCAGTGATGGTGATGATGATGAATGATGATGATGACTTAATAGATGGTGATAGGGATGGTGCCAAAGCCATGTTGATAATGATAATGTCGATAATAATGATAACTGTGGTATCTGATGATGGTAGTGATAATGATAACAACATTCATGATGAAAGCGATTGTGACTGATAATGATAACTTAAAGAAAAAAAGAATGTGATACTAGTACTAACTGTATACACCCGTATTTTTTATATCCAGGGAAGACCATACACCACATCCCAAGAACCGCAATCATCGTGTCAAGTCTCCTAATCGCAGATCCCCAAGACATCACACCGGTAAGGGTGGAGTAAGGGAACGGGCGATGAAAAGAAAGAAAGAAAAACAAAAAGGAACAGGTCCAGGTAAATAGTGTACATAGGCTTTTTATAGGTTCTATTAACATGGTGCATTGTGGTCTAGCCTGTGTATAAACAACACCAAGCTAGACCATAATGCAACATGTTCATTATCTAAGGCATTATAAGGCATTATGAACCAAAGATATTTGTCCCCAAGCTAGACCACAGTGCATCTCATCTTTTCTGTGTCTCAGAAAAGGTATATACTGTTGCCATATGATATACTTATTTAGTATAAAGTTAGTCATCTAAAAAGATTCAAAGCTGAGACTGACAAGGATTATTGGGAGATTCATTTTACATGTATCAACCACTTAATAACTGTTGATGGACTTGAGATCTTTTACCAGCTACAGTCTCACCTCTTCTAAGCATCCTCAAGCTTCAGTTTGTATCAGAGAAGCTTGACTTGTTTGATATGAATTGTTTCCCATGATCCTCAATGATCTCAGCTTTCTAGGTTTTTGGTGACTAGCTATATTGAAATATAAGTATATAATGCTTCCCACTCATATAAAAACCCATCTACCCATTAAAAAAAAACACACTTTAATTAGTTCCAAATGTTTGTGTCCAAACAAACAATGTAAAACCTAGCCTCCTCCACAGGCTTCTCCACGTATTCTATATTCTCTGTTGGGATCCCTGTATAAATTTTATGGCAGAGAAGAACTAGAAACGAGAGTGGAGGAAGAGTGGGGACGAGGGAGGGAGAGAAAAATACAAACCTTTTACTTATACAACCTGAATACTATTTATATGGTTATTATCATCAGGGTCTCCGACTAGTCCTCCCCAGAGCGGAATTTTTAGTGATTCTGGCGCAGAAAACAGACCAGAAGGAAATGATGAGACTGGCCAAGCTACAGCTGCAGAAAACAGGGTATGTATCAGACATCTACATTTCCGTCCGCTTACTCATCTGCATTCATGTTTGTCTGTCTGTCCGTCCGTCTGTCTGTCCATCTGTTTGTCTGTCTGTCTGTCCGTCCGTCTGTCTGTCTGTCTGTCCGTCTGTCTGTGTGCTCAGTAGGATTTTTCTAAAAATTTTCAACTTAGTTTTTAGGATTATATATTTATATTTTACTGATCATATTCATAACGACTTCCATGTAAAGAAGTTTTATACTTATTGAATTATCGTTTTCAAATAAAGGTGTATCTGTCTGTCCGTCTGTCTGTCTGTCCGTCTGTCTGTCTGTCTGTACGTCTGTCCTTCTGTGTATAGACCCCTTACATTAATTTGGAGGACAAAATAAAAGGATTGGAAAACTACTGTTATGTCCTCAAAATTTGAGTTGCATTCCAACGTGCTGCAAGGGGTCTATTGGTGGGTGTTGCATGTCGTCTGTCCATCATATTGTATAGCTCGTATCCGCTATCTTGTCTGTCTGTCCATTGTTAAGACAAAAATTTACTTTTTCAGGCATCAGCTGTGGATTCTAAGAAAGATAAAAAAGGATGGGCAGAATCGTTAAAACTGAAACAAGCACGGTTCAGTCGTGGGCACAGCTTTTCTGCCATCATCACAGGTACCACGGGTACCCCTGCTAGCGAGGTGTCCAAGACAAGACTCCAGGCGATCAAGAAAACGAACATTCAGTCCTACACTCACTTGCTCTCCCTCTTCGACAAGGAGGGCAGATTTAGTGGATTCTTAACTGAAGTCAAAGTCTCGAAGTATAGCACAACCCAGCTTCGAAGGTGGTGTGTCGTGAAAAACGGTGCGTTGAATCTTTATAACAAACAAACCGAAGAGGCGGCACCAGCAGTTAAGCTAAACCTTGCTGAAATGTGGCTCACTGACTCTAAAGATGAAGCCAAGCATAAGTACTCGTTTGATCTACACGACAAGGATGGAAAAACCTATACATTTCAAGTCGCGTCTAAAGAGGAGTTTGACAAATGGTATGGAATACTGAAGGTATTTACGGAGATCCGTATTGAGAGGCCAGTACAAACGTCTACGACAGACGACACGGAAAAAGTTCCTACTCAGGACCGTGAAGTTGGACCACAAAAAGGTGACCGCCCAGTATCTAGAGGTAAAGACGACGGAACGTCCGTCAATACATTCGTTAAAAGACCATCAATCCGCATGAAATTCTCCCAGAAGGTCAGCGTGATGGATTTATTTAAACGTTCACACACCTCTTACGACTTCGAGAATCCCGTCCCAGGGGATATCATCCCAACGGAAGACATCAAGTGTATTAATTATACCGGCGGGCAATTAACAGAAGTATGCGTCACTGAGGATCATTATACTTGGAGTAGGGCCCGGTGGTGCACGATAAAGGACTCTGAGTTATTAATATTCGCGGACAATGTTGGCGGTGACCCCGTCAAGAGAATACCCTTATATAACGTAAGAATTGAAGAAGCCTGCGAACCTGATAAAGAAGTCTATCGGTTTAAAATCCACAAGTCGAACGATACTTTAATCTTCGTCGCGAAAGACAAACTAGACTGCGAGCGCTGGGTCAATCAGCTGAGATCCGCCTCCTCGATGTATGGCAAAGACGATCACGAGAACTCGAAGTGTAGGATCCCGTCTCCTCGCGTCTTCTCGCACAGGAGAACCCGCAGCGAGACGCTACCGCAGATGCTAAGCGGTGCCCCTTCGCCAGGGGTATCGTCCTCCGCATCATCACCAGAGAAACGGTTATCTTACGGAAGCGCTTCAGTATCAACTGGGTCTGAAGATTCCACAGATACTCTAATGAATGGCCATCTTAATGAAGTCATCCCCAACAAAAAGGGCAAAAATACTGATAGCAAATTAACGTGGTGTGTGGTTACGAGCGAGTTTTTCTTCCAGTATGATTCCGAAGATGTTACGAATCCGAGCCGAAAGTGGAAGCTGACAGAAGTCAACGCGAAGGAGGAAAATAAGGACACTTTGCCGAACTCTTTTGGCTTCTCCTTACAATGCGGAGAAGAAACAGTGTCCTATCGTCACGAGAACCAAGAGGTGATAACACAATGGTTAAGCGTGCTATACCGGTATTGCAAACCTGCGGACGATGATATATCTCCAGTGTTACCGAGAAAGGACTCGGGGCGTTACAAAGCAAAAAGCCAGGATAATATAAAAACAGAATTCCCCGATCCAGAAAAACGATTTTTAAGGAAAACATTAAGTGAAGGTAAAGCAAGCGGAAAGAAACTGTTACGCAAAATATCGGAAGATAACCTTCTTCATAAATACCGACGTGCAGAAGTCTTTAAGGTCCCTTGGAAAGGAAGCCTGGATAGGTTGAATGTTAGGCATCGTGATCACATGGAACCATCCGTTAGCGCACGTGATCTTGAGCGCAGATTCTCCTGTGGAAGTCTATTCGACAGTGAGGGGAAGTACTCTGGTTATCTCGTAGAACTTGTTACAAGACCGTTATGTCGTAGCGAGGTGCGACGTTGGTGCGTGGTCCGCGATGATTGTTTTTTCGTTTACGAACAACCTCGAGTAGAAACACCCAGAAAAATCATCCAACTGAAACATGTTGAACTCATTAACGAGGGAAAGATGAACGAGAATAAGTTTGTCTTCAGGCTTGACTACGGTGCTGATGAGTCAGCGGTATTCAAAGCCATGAGTAGAACTGATTTTGAGAAGTGGATTACAGCGATCACCGTCAAGCTGGCTGTTTTGAAATCTAGAATTCAACGGCAAGAACAAAGAAAGGGGTTTGTTATCGATGAGGATGAAGAGTTCGACTCCACAGGTAGTGTGACGATTGTATTATAGCTCTCATAAAACGCATATGCTCTGATTAGGGGGCGGACATCTATCTCCTCGTGGGAGTAGGGGTCAGGATTTTTGTTGCGATGTATGAGACACCTTTTTTTTATGATTCACCTTGATTGCTACTTTCTCATATTTGTGTAACATCCCCTTCTATAGCTAACATTGTTTAGTCAAATCCAACTAGTAGTCTATCATCAATTCTGCGTTCTAATTGGATTGGCTACTACTAGCCTATATATGTTATAGCCTACTAGTATTAAAAAGTGCCGGCTTTGAAAACCAAGAAATTAAATGTAACTTTATTTCTTCTTTTCGGCGCTAGCCGTCACGTGTTATACATTGTGTTGGATTGTGTTACGATCACCAAGAAGTTCAGACATTGTTCTCGGATTTCCGTACAAATGTACTGACTTTAAATGAACTATTTACTTGGTTTGTTTAGTTAGCTCTCTAAATACAAGCAAAATATCATTTTTCTAACTTGATTGAAGACTCCGTGAATTTGTATGGGAATCCGAGAACGATGTCCGAACTTTTTAGTGACCGTAACACAATCCAACAAAGTGTTTACGACGTGACGGCTATTGCCGAAAAGGTGAATTCAAAACTCGTTTGCATCTATATATTTGACTGACTAGTTGGATTTGACTAAAACAGTTAGTCCTCTAGCCCTCATGGCCTGAGTCAATAGCTCATTCGGGCTCGAGGACTAATTGCTAAATATCTATTCTCCTCTTCCGTTGTCTAAGAAAAACATGTGATCGCCCTCCAAAATCTTCCGACCCCACCCCTAACCTCACCGAGGGGATGAATAATAACAAAAGAATGCGTAATGTTTTCTCTAACTTACTAGATTATTTTGGTTTCGTAGAGCCCACGCCTTCAACCACTAACGACACCCTTGTGCCAACCAACGAGACATTCACTGAAAAGCATCCTTCAGAGGATACCCAATACCTCAAAGCACACCCTCGTACGCACTCTGAAGTATCCAACGATAGTGTCTTCATACGAGAGCAAGTGACGCCCACCAATATTACAACTGACGAAACAAACAAAGTCGAGTATAAAGAAGGTGAAACTCATTCCATCATACAAGACACTGATGATGTTGTGACTATACAAAAAGAAAAACCTGATAAGGAAGTATCGGAGATATTAGAAAACTTAGAGAAAGTAACGCTAAGCGAGTCACTGCGTGACGTTCCGACAGACGATGACGTCATCAATCTTGGCTCACTAAAAATTCCTTGGTCAGCGGTCATAGCGGAAGAGGAAGAGAAAGATAAAGGAAAAGATAAATTTGAGACGGAGCCTATCTATCAGAATTATACAGAAATAGGTGTAGTGGAACCTATATACCAAAATAGGCTGGAGGTTATATCTGAGGGAAGCACAGGGACGCTTTCACAACTGGAAATTGAACAAATTGATCTCAATTCCCACGAGGGAAGAATGAACTACCGAAAATTCAAAGAAGGATTTTTAGCGAACCCAGAAGAAAGCATGTTTGTAGACATGTTACCTAAAAGGCATTCCGACTACGACTTGGGACCGCTTTATGACAACCTTCATTTTCTTCAGAACCAAGAGCCTCAGGGAAAGCCCCTGTGGTCAGTGCGTCCCTCTAAAGACCACGACGAAGTGTTTGTTCCTAGTGGTCCGCATACCTCCTTAAAATCACCAAAAGAATTCGGCGCCACAGATCGCCGGAGCATGGCCAGTGACTATTCTGGCATCGTTGGAGAATCGTTACTAGAAGAGGCCGGTAGTTTCAGTGGTAATACTACTAGAAGCGGGACATTGTCGAGTCAGAGTGGTGTTGACCCGCGGGATCTACAGTCAATGGACTCGGCGTTTGATAAAGAACTTTTAGAAGATATTTTGGGGCTTAATGTAACTAGCGAAGAAGCTGCCGAGATTTCCGAATATTGCGCGAAATGTGATGAAGAACGAGACTCCTTACAGTCAATCGATACTCGTTCGGACACGCTGACGGATCGGCAGTCGAAATCGGACGTTTTCTTTGATGCCGCGAGCGACTTTGAAAACGGAGATCCAACCACTGATTCGAAAAATAGAACTTCTGCGCATGATCAAGTGCACGATCAAGCGCATGCGAATTTGGGCCGCGACTTGCGCTCTTCTAGTGGTGCTAGCATCCATGACACATATTTCGGTCGGTCGAGCTCCGACGAAGAAGACGAAGTTTACGAGGATAGCAGTCAGGGATTCCTTACGGCTGAGTCCAGCCCCTGTCACAAGCCTTTATCTGCTGCTATTAACTTAAATCTTAATGAAGAACCAGAATCGCGCGATAAGTTAACAGCAGGTTTTGTGAATAACCTGGACAGACGCTCCCGTGGRGAGTCCTCTGAGGACGACACTATCAATACCTACTTTGGACGATCTAGTGTATCAGATTTAGAAGATCATAATATTGAAGATAAGCCCGATCAGTCAGACCAGTTAGCGCAGTTAAGGGAGCTTGATGAGGCAATTGTGTCTGTAGGAGCGGTGCTGCCTAGCAACGATGGTGACGGGTTTCATAGGGCACAGTCAAGTTTTGACAATTGTCTCGATAATTCAAAAACTACCAACACAAAGACCCAGTCTAACAATCAGACAACGTATCCAGAAATGACGAACTCAAGCGAGGCTGGTACCGACACAGACACCGTAAATCTTAGAAATAAATCCGGGATGATTGATAGCGACACGAGGAAAGAACTGACCAAGAGCGAAGCAGAGTTTATTAAGGCTGTGACGGATGCCTTCAAAGACATCACCAAGCTTTCTAGTGAGGACGATGGCAGCGAAGATACGAAATTTTAACGAGATGTGTGGAAATTGGTGTTCAATCGTGATTAATCCTGACTTTCGTCTATGGACAAAATTCGTCACTGACCCCATTACTTATACACATGCATGCTCAGTCATTCCTTTTCGTAAAAATAACGGAAACTTAAGTCAATAGGCAGATTAAGATTCCCGTTTATCCTTCCCGCAAACGGCAAACGTGACCACGTTTTCATCGTTTCCCAACATTTCATTTTACCTTTTGCAAACCTTTTCGACAAAGACAAGTATTTTTTGTTTATCTACTACTTGGAGATTTTTGCGATTCCTTTTCACTAATTTTAAAGAATTTTTTAATGGTCAACTGACGTTTCACGTTTGCCGTGAACGAGAAGCTTAAACTCTCTAATAATAGACCTTTTTACCACGTTTTCTCATTTCTCATTATCATGATATTCCCTAGAGTATAATTCCTCTTTTTGACGGTTGTGCATGCGAAAACACCTTATTCTCCAGAGAATGACACATGGTCTGAAATAGGAAAACATCGCGCCCAAGGTAAAGAGGTCTATTCTCAGTTTTTATTCGTACTGAAGAGTTTTTTGCGAATTCCGCTCTTTTATATTCCGTAACATTTTTTTACTTCTCCAGATGTATATTTTTGGGCCACCTTGTTTTTCATAAGGTATCGATTACCTTATATTCGGTTTTTAATAATTAGCTATTCGATGTTCTTTGAGGCTCGGTCCATATATCCTGTCGGTATAAGTGCTTTTAAAAGCGGGTCAAGCGTGCCTGTTCATAGAATATCACCCAAGGGATCACCCGGCTAGTCGAAAAGAAATTCTAGGTAGAATCTATGTTGAAAATGACAATAATCCAGTTATTCTAATAAGCTTTTGGAGCGCTTTTATGTTTCTTTGACTAGAGCAAGACAGTCTAATCACGGCGCGTTTTTTTCTTCATTTTCTTTTGTGTGCTTCAACTTCCTTACATCATTCGTACAACAGCCTGAGCTGGTAAGACTGTATACTAGATAGCACTTGTTTTACCGCATATCGGATAGGCTTCAGTTCACACACGGATCGCTTGCTTTCGGCGCGATTTTTTGTTCCGGATAGATGTTTCTCCGCTCCGGTTTGAAAAGTGGTACACTTTCGTTAACAGATAGGTTTTCATGTGGCTTTGTTTCGCACGTTCACACTAGTTCTGGTTTGTACCTTGTGTCTTAAGGAGCGATTACACGGAACAATTTCCTTTGCAGCTTGTCTCGCAACAGCGTTGCGACAATGTTGCGAGACAATTTGCACCAATCGTTGCGAAAAGTAGAATTCGTTTCTACTTTTGGCAATGATTACGTCTCCGTTGCACTGTGTAAACACTCTTGCAAACTCTGTTGCGAGACAATTTTCAGATAAAATTGCTCCGAATAATCGCGCCTTTAGTAAAAATATATCCACGAAATAATGTGTATATATACAAGTCATGGAGGTCGTAGAAATAAAAAAGCGCTCTAAAATAAATATTTAAAACGAATTATGTAACGCGAATTGAATATATCCCAATGTATTCATTATTCTACATAGGCTATATAATTATAAGAGTATATGATAATATATATTTTTATAGTACGTAAGTTTAGGAAATTCCGTCGTAAAATATTCCAATCGTTTAGGTTACCAGCACTTCTCCGTACGGTTTCCTTTGGGGCAATTAAAAATGCAGTAGAAATGTTGCTAGATATACTGTTCCGGTAATCCAGTACAATCTTGTAACTTGTGGCGCGACCTTGCAAGGTACAGCGCAAGCGTTCCTCGCATTATCATCCAGAGCACAACATATTTTCCTTGTTGTATGAGCTTAAAGCTCTCTGCTCTTGCAACTAAGAAAATTTTTTTGCGTCAAGAGTAAGAAAAGTGTGAGTGATATTCACGTAGCGGGTTTAGAATGCAACAGTGTTACCAGATAAGTTGTACAACGTTTTAAATCGTATTGCTGTACCGAAAAATTAATCAAACTAAGGTATCCGTGCGCCAGTAGTATTGTTTGATGTAGTTTCCCGGATGAGCATACGCGCAAAAGAAATGAATGATGTTGCACTTCATGACTTGGTAAATTAATCATCTCGCAGCATCATTGATGCGCATTGCTTTAGTCGACAGTCTAGTTTGGACGGCTCTGTTACACTGGATCTTTTAGCTCAAACTTGCCTCGAAACCCTTTCGAGAAAAGTTTCACGAAAGTTGTTAACACAGCGTAATTAGACCTTTCCCGCGCATTCGCTCGAGTTACCTGAGAACACCTAGTTCCAAGTGGATGTTGAACTTGATTAAATATTAATTAGTAATTTATAAGCACGTCAATTTTAATCTCGACTCGAAACTGCTGTTTAAGTACATTCAAGAGAATTTGGGTAAGGTATATTTCTTGTGAAGAACTTGTTTCGCTACGAAAAAAATTATGACCAAACATTGGGGTTGATCAGAATTTTAAAAGCGCAGCGACAACTTCGATGTAGAACAAGTCGAACATGTTTGCTCCATTGAAACTATTTTCTATTATTATCAAAATGCGTCCGTCAAACATGCGAAAATTTGGAGTACTTTTCAAAGATGATTCGAAGAAAGTGAGCAGGAAAAATACTAAGTTGACTGAAATAAGTTTTCTTGATCATCTTTCTTGCTATATGACTTCAAAAAATTGATCCAAAAGTAAAAATGTTAAGAATTGAATCCGATCATGAGACAGAGTTGGCGACCATAGTGACGGTCTAACTTGTGTATAATTTTCGATTCATAAACCTAATGAAACCGATTCTTTTACTGAAGCTTATTCGTAATGAGCCTTTTTATTCCAACTTAGAAAAAACCTTGGGGATGTGAAAGACTCCAAAAGTTATAATGTATGCGTTCATATAAGTCATTTGTAATAAGAATGATCATAATGAATTGAAATATGTAGGCATGAAAAAATTGATGAACAAATTTAATAGTTATAAAAGGTTATATTTTAAAGTCAAATTTGTAATCATAGTATGTGACATGCTACCCTCAAACTGAATGAAACTAAAGTGGAATAAATTTTGTTTGAGATGGAGCTATTCTCCCTCTCCCTTTCTGTCTTCCTCTCCCATCTTCTTCCTTCTCAGTCTGTTTCTCTTTTTTTCTTCGTTATCCAAAAAGTCTCTTAGTTTCTTGAGGAATTCAATAAGATCGTGAGATCATTATGTGAAAAAATAATCGGGAAAAGAGATTTAAAGTATCATGGGTATTCGCGGAATTTAGGATTTTTTTGTTTCACTCTTCGTGGTTCGACTGCAAAAGACTCTTCACTTCCGAGCGTAGCTGTCGAAAAAGGAGTAAGCACACACCACCCGATGTTAATTACCCACCCTTGTGTTGCAATTCTCACTTTTTCCGGCCAGGTTTAGTGAAGGAAAGTCCTTGCGGTCTAGATGCCATTAGCTGTTTTCAGATATGCTGACTCCTTCATTTAACATCTTCACAAAACTCGAGACCAAGATCTTTAAGTCACCCTTCGCGATAGTCATTGCGGTCTTGTCGCAAGTTCTCTTATTACTCAGATCGATTCTCCCATTCATTTTTATCTTCATTTAAACTCTTGCAAGTCCAAGATATTTAGCTCATCCTTCGCGATGATGGTTGCAGTCTTCCCCCATAATCTCTTTTTATTCTCAGATCTTCCATTCATCTTTATCTTCAAACTCGAATAAGCTAGTCCAAGATCTTCAAGTCATCCTTCTTCACGATAGTTCTCGCAGTCTAGAACCAATGCCTTCTTCTCGGAGCTTCCATTCATTTCTATCTTAACTTCAAACTCAAACAAGTCCATGATCTTTAGCCATCCCTCGTGGTCCTTCCAGTCTTGAACCCACGCATAATCTGTTCTAGATCTCCCATTCATTTTCATCTTCAAACTCGAACAAGTCAAGATCTTTGAGTCATCCTTCTTCGCGACAGTGCTTGCAGTCTTGAACCCAATGATCTCGAGCTTATTCTCGAGCTCAGATCTCCAATTCATTTTAATCTTCAAGTCTCAAAAAAAATCCAATATATTTAAGGCATCCTTCTTCGCGATAGTCCTTTCAGTTTAAAATCCATGATCTATCATTCTCAGATCTTTCATTCATTTCCATCTTCGAACTCCAAAAAGTCCAATATCTTCAAGTCATCCTTCTTCGCGATAGAATTTCGGTCTCGTGGATCTAAGCTAGGCAGCAGTATATTCCTTTTCTCTTGGTGGTGTGTTGAGTATCTTGATGTGGAGGGGTACTTTAGAACCGTGTCTGTACTTCTTGGAAGCCCAAGTGTTGATGCTTTTAGGCCAGCTAGTGCTCCCCTTGCGGTTGGTTTGGAAAACATATCTAAAACGAAACAAATTAAAGTAATCATTGTCATTATCATCATTCATCATCAACATCATATTCACGATCATCACTCACTCATCATCATTGTCAATCATCAGCACCAGCTGAGTTGACCTTTAGAAAGAACTCGGGGTCAACCAATTAGAAGTGAGGACTCAGCATTGTATTTTGATTAGAAATTCCCATCAGTTCACTCAAGAGATCCCATGACGGAACTCCATTTCAACCGACAAGAGAAATCTATACATCGTATTAAGTTGTGGTTCAGAAAATGCTCACCAGAAATAGTTGACCCATAATTCCTTTCGGTGAACGCCGTCAACTCCGCTGGCAATAACATCTTCATCACCATCAGTTTGCTCTTTCAACATCATCATGATAGTCATTATTCACACATCATCATCAACATCATGTATTATATCACCACTACCAAGATAATTCATTATCATGATCATCGTCACCAACCACCACACCATCATCATCTATCATCATTGTCATGATCACTCATCATTACCATCATCATCATCATTATCATCATCATGCATCATCCTTATCATCATCAATATCATCATCAACAACATACAATAATAATAATAATAATAATGATATTTATTTAGACACGATTGATATTACAGCATCACCATCATCATCAAAGCACTGAAAATAAAATATTGCTCTTCTCTTAAACCATATCTTTGTATGAGTAAATATTTGTAGAACAAAATTCTCTTACCTGTTTTTATTACTTGATACTTGCTTGAATCCTTGTCAGATGACACAACCTTCTTTCCCATACGAAGTCTGTCCTGTAGGCTAAACTTTCGTTTTGGCGTCGTTGCTTGTGCCAGGTTGTCTTTGTGCTCGTCTTCATCACTGGGTTCATAAGTAACGGAAGTCGATAGGAGAGAGT